GAAGAAAACACCTGTAAGGACTTTGGAAACATTGCTGCTTAGAAGCCCCAAGACAACAGGTAAATTTCAAGAGGATCTAAATATCTATATATCTTTAGTCTTTCCTCTAAATTGTCTACCACATTTATTCTATTTTAACATGTAGAAAAGTAAATGAATGAAAAAAGCATGCCACTTTCTCAATTAATTATGTTGAATGTTGTGATCAGAAAACACCACCATTTATCTACATGGTAGAAGCTAACCCTAAATGAAGTCAAAATGCCTAAAAGATAAATATTCCTATGAATGTTAGTGTTGCAAAACTATTAAAATAGTAATTTTTATAAATTATACTCTTAACAAATGAAATTTTAACTATACCTTTTAATGTTAAGAAATAAAACAATATTACCCTAATTTAGTTTTCTGTATTACTGATTCCCTTTGCTAACACATTCCATAAGTAAATAATTTACCGTTTGAAATAATACACAACCTTTGCATTCCATTCATTTCTCCTGCTTTGGGACAGCATTGGTAAGTGAAGAAAAACCCTATTGGATTTTGGTATATCACTCATTATTTATATACATTAAATTTTATTTCTCTGCATTATTGAATCAAAATGACAATAGTAAAATGGAAATCAGAGAGCCTTAATCTAATATAGTTCAATTTTTCTTAGTTAAATGTAAGTTCTGAGGATTATATACCATATATATATACATATATATAATGTGTTTAGATAGGAAATAATGGTACTTATAGTGAGCATTTGTATAGTACTTGAAGGTTTGCAAAGTGCTTTACAAATCATTTGACCCTCACAACAACCCTATGAGGTAGGTACTATTATTATTTTCATTCTACAGATGATGAAGCTGAGGTAGATGAGATTAAGTGACTTGCCTAGGGTCACACAGCTAGTAAGGGTACATGTTTGGATCTGACCTTGGGTTTTCTTCATTCTAGGTCTAGTGGTCTGTCCACTATACCACCTAGTTGCCTCTAGTGTATCTAAGTATAATGAGTTATATATACAATGGAAAGAAAATTGAAGTAGGAGTCAGGTTCTTGCACAGACTTATTTACTAACATAACTCTGTTATGTGCCTTTGGACAAGTCCTTTAGCTTCTTTGGGCCTCAGTTTTCACATCTATGAAATGAGAGGGTTAGACTTGATGGTTTATAGGTTACTTTCTGCTTGAATATTTTGAGACTCTGTGATTCTCTACATTTTCTTTTGATGTCTTTGTGATTGCCATCTTGAGACCCAAAAATGTGAAAAGGATTCCTCTTCATGAGTTTACTTCTGTGTTGTTCCATTCATACCTCAGGATGCAATTTTGAATTCTGAATTCCTTAGTTATAATAACTGTATAATTGAGGGGGAGAAGATTGTGGAGAAATGTAGCTTTTCTGCTTTTAAGAACTACGCAAACTTTGGTGAATCCATGGTTTCATTAATGTGGGTACTCTCCATACTTTCTCCTCCTGTGCAATTCTTGTCAATGATATTTCCAAAAATCCTCTGTAGCAGTCATCCAAAATGAAGAAGGCTTTGCTCTCATTCTTATAATGTCTTGGGGCAGGTGCAATATCACAGTACCAGTGGTATTGTCCTCTGTTTATCTCTCACTCTCACTTCATGACCTGACCAGCACCATTTTTGTTATATATGTTCTCAAATTGCTGGTAATATCCAATCCAATAAACATTTATCAAGTACCTACAATATTTACAGTAATATACTAGATGTTGGAACATATGCAAAGTTTATATAAGTCCCTGGCTTCATAATACTTACAGTGTAGGAGAGGAATAAGACACATACACAGAAAACTGTAATACATGCATAATATATGGTAAGTTCATTGGAGAAATGCAAAACAAAGTGCTACTTCAAGTTCAAGAGAAAGGTTAGTATTTGCATGGGACATCAGGAAAAGCTTGAAGGAGGAGGTGATATTTGTTTTTGTTTGTTTGTTTTTGAGGCAGAGTTAAGTGACTTGCCCAGGGTGTCTAAGGCTGGATTTGAACTCCAGAGCCAGTGCTCTATCCACTGCACCACCCAGTTGCCCCAGAGGTGACATATTTGAATTGAGAATTAAATGATAGTTAGGAGGACATTCTATGCATATAGAATAGCACAAAGACACAGAGATGAAAAAACCATAGGAAGCATTTGGGAGGATAGAGGGTAACTCATTATAACTATAGTGCCAGGCTTTAGAAGACCCTAAATTTAGGGGTTTGAGTCTGAACTTTACTCAATAGGCAACAGGGAGCCACAAAAGATTTTTGAGTATACAAGTGACATGTTCAGATGTATGGAAAAAAAATCAGTTAGCAATGTTATGAAAGGTACAGGAAGAGATTCTTCAATCCAGATTGCAAGATACAGAGAAGAAAGAAGGATATAAAGAAGCAGAATCATTAAGTATAGACTTTTTCAAGAAGTATAACAATAAAGAAGAGGAAAGAGATGGAACAGATAGTAGCTGGGTAGGGCAAGAGGCTCAATGAAAAATTTTGTTAGAATTTGTAGAAAACTGTGTAATTTTTTTGTGACATGAAACTGTATTTTGGAACTAGCATCATGGTTTGTGTGTCATGAGACCAGTCAAATTATGTCAGAATATGGCATTACCAAAGCTGGGGAGTCAGTGTAATAAGTAACTTTAACCTGAAAGGGAAGAGGAAAGAAGTCAATGCTTCCTTCATCTGGTTACTATTCTATTAGGAAACATTAAATGTGGATTTCAACTACTAATGCAAGATACATGTTATTATAATCCTATGGGGAGAACACCCTTTTCTCTTGATTCCCTAAATCTAGGGAATTGTGATATTTTATTCTTGAGCAAAAACAAAGGAAGCAAATTGTTTGCTTCCCACCCCTCTCCCCCATTATAACATCTACCTATTCAACCCAGGGCAATGATATTTCATTGTAATAGTAATTCTTACCCATTAACTTTATCCCTATCCTTAAGAATAAAGTAAAAAATTCTAATAGAATGAACTAGGTACCCTTTAACCTAATAAAGTATTTCTATATATTAATCATACATAGAATTTATGCATTTTTAGAGAATCTCATAAAAATGTGTTAAAATTATTTAAATTAAAACTCAATTTTAAGCACAAATGAATATTTTTGATAGTTACATATGAAAACTAAACTTTATTTCAACCTCTTTCTGTCTGTTGGGTCCTTCTCTGTTACTTACAAACACAACAAAATCTCAACAATCATTAAAAAAATCTGCAATTGAGCCTGCTGTCCTCTTTCCCTCCCACCCTCCCACTCCTAAGTTACTTTCTCAGCCAAAACTCCTAGAAAAAGAAGTCTTCATGTGTGGCATCGATTTCCTCATGCTCAATTCATTTCTTAACCTCACCATTTTAGTGAAACTGTTTTCTTTAAGATCCAGTGCTCCTTTAATTACTAAATCCAATTAGTTTTTAGCTCAGTTCTTATTCTTTTTGACCACTTGGCAGTTTTTGGCACTACTGATCACTTCCTCTTTGCTAAATAATCTGTATTTAGGATTTTCATGACACTGCTCTCTGCTGATTCTCTTCCTTCCTATCTCTTTTGCTAGATCTTTTTTCCATTTTCCAACCATATTAGTGAGTATACCCCAAGGATCTGTCCTAGACCCTCCTCTCTCTGTACTCTTTCCCTTGTAGAGCTCATTAGTTGCAGTGGGCCCAATTATCATTTCTATGAATGACATTCAAATTTGCATCCTTGACCCTTATCTCTTTACAGAGCTCAAGCTCTACAGGTCTACATCACCAAGTACCTGATGGACATTTCCATCTGGATGTGCCATAGGCATAATGAACTGAACAGGTCCAATTTGGGACTCCTTACTATCTCTCTTAAACTTACCCTTCCTTTGACTTTTCTCATTTCTGCTGAAATTAGTAGGAGCCTTGGAGCCATCCTTGACTCTCCCCTTTCCCTATTACTAACACTCATATCTAATCATTTGCTCAGTCTTCTCAATTCTACAAATATAAAATTTTTTGCTTCTTTTTTTTCTCCACTCCCAAGACTAATACTTTGGCTCAGGTCCTCATCACCTCTGCTTGATTATAGCTCTCAAATCAAATGAATTTAATAGAGAATAAGGACATTAACTCTCATATCTACAGGGTTTTATACTTTACAAAGTGTTTTTATTACAGCAATCTTATTATTATTCTTAGTATTTCCATTTTTCAGATAAGGAAATTGAGGCTTAGAGGAGTTAAACTAACTTGTCATGGTCACATAGCTAGTAAATGGCAGAGCCAATACTTGAACCCAGGTTTTCTTCATGTCTGCCTTGCAAAAAGAACAGACTGACGAGCATCTGACTGATCAATAAGAGGTTTCCTATGTGTTCAGCTGCCTTTTCTACAAACACTATAAACTTTGATGCTCTCATTTAATTATATTGTGACTTTCATGTATTTAAAAACCATCTGGTTCTCAAGTAGAAAAAACACAATGATAGCTATCTAGAAACTCCAATAAGCCAACTTAAGAGTTTGAGCTTAAAGTCAACAAATGGACTTTCCACACAGACGGAAATCAAATAATTTTAAACAAAGCCATTCAGATAAACATTTATTTAACAATTATTTGATGCCCTCATAAAAGATTATATGGCATTCATTTTCTGTCCATAATTCACTCCCACATTGTTGATGCTGTATGGCCTTCCAGGTAACCCAACACTCTCTTGTCTCTTAAGCTTGTCCCAAATACTTATACCAGCAATTTTGGACATGAACACTTTTACAAGTCCCATCCCAGATTTCTTCTTGTCTCACTTTGCCCAAGTGCCTTATAAGGAATTGGAAGAAAGACTGAAGGAAATCAGTCATTCATTCAGTGCCTAAACTATTCACCTTTGAACCAAATTTCTAATAAGTTTTTATTATAACAGTAAATGGATTTGTTTTAAGCTACAGAGTGAATAAAGTCAGTCGTATGAAGGGCATAGGTTCATGTTCTTACCTCCACGATCTCGGGCAGCTAAATTCTGACCCCTTCTTAATGTAATATCCAACTGGTACATTCCGGGATCAACCAAAGGGAGATCGGCATTACTAGTTCCAACAGTGTTTAGCCTCTGAAAAGCAAAACAGATAACACAAAATTTTAAGCATGCTTTTGCACACATTTTTTCTGCCCTTTGAGACCACACACAGTTAAACCCAAACCAACATAAAATAGTAAAGCAAAGATTGCTGCACTGAATTTCACACAAAGGTAGTCCTTTGGGGGCAGCTAGGGGCTAGGTGGTACAATGGATAGAGCACTGGCTTTGGAGTCAGGAGGACCTGAATTGAAATCTGGCCTCAGACACTTGACTAGCTATGTGACCATGGACAAATCACCCTGACATCCTCCAAAAGAAAAAAAAAATACTCCTTTGGACTTATGGGGCTCATAAAGTTCTTTGGGTGCCAAACAGAGATGTGGATCAAGAACCGATAATTTTCCACCCTAGCCATGATGATGGATACAAATGTAGTACAAGAAATACTCCCTGAGGGAAGTGCCATACAATTTCATAGCAAAATATGAAGACAGATATGAGTGTTAAGACAACAAGCAATGGCGAATGGAGAATGAAGATGGATAAGGGAGGTTGACATCTCATATAAGTAAGTAGGAGTGCATATGAAAATGATTTACTGACATAACTTTGTTGACTCATTTATCTATGAAAATGATTTCATGTTGATGGATTGTATACTGCAATTTCTACCCAAACGTAAAGCATAATATAATTATGCAAAAATAAATCCACCTAGCATTTTTATAGCATTTATAGGCAATAAGTTTTCACTGGGGGACTAAACATTTAATCCTGATGTCCTATGAAAGTAAAGCATACTCCTAAATCTAGAGACCTGTACAAGATTGCCTTTGGGGGAAAAAAGTCTTTGGAAGTACTTTGGCAACTCTCCTAGGCACTATTTCTAAAAGGATGAGCCATTTAAAATCAACACAAAATGCACATATTAAAGCAACACAATAAAAATTGTACATTTCACATCTTGCATTTTTTTATCATTTTGGGTACAACTATTAAAAAACAATTCAGGAAATGACAAAAAATTTTAAGTATGTTAATGCTAAGCTTTTCCAGTAATTATTTTGATAATTCAAAAATGAATAATTTTCTTAGGGGATAATAGCCATGGACAAGACAAAATGTGAAAAAAATTAAGAAGGCACTTCCTGCTCCATTCTTCATGTACGATCCAAAAAATATTTTTGTAAAAGCTCTTCGGCTAACTCAAAAAACTTTTTTTTTGTTAGAAAAAAATTGAAACTACGATGTATTGAACAAAATATCAAAATAATGCAAAAAGAGTCCATGATAAAAGCAGTGAACCACAACCTCAACCGCTAAAAGCCTCTGTGTCACAGAAGGAAAGAAGCAAACAATGGACCCAAGTACACTTTGAGTTCATCCTGTCTACTCAACTGAAAAGTAGGATGCGGGAAAGCTATGGAAGTAAGAAATAGCATTTAATTGTTGGAGTAGACTTTCTTGGAATCTCTTAATTTAGACTCCAGGTATATAAAGGTGTGAAGAAAGTCTAGACAGCTAAATACAGAAATATGATGAATCATACTTTGGTTTCCTGTCTCCCTTCCCCTTCTGTTTTTTCCTCTAGTTCCTCCTCTTTTTTTAAAGTACTTGTGTCATTTTTAAAATTTGGTTTTTTTACATTATTTAAGTTTCAGTAATCACATGGGGAAAGACTGAGGAAAATCAGTTTCTACTGTGGAGCACTCAGATAATGGATTGTTACACAATTTATCAATAAGGAAGACATGAGGACCAGGGAAAGCTAGGTGGCACAGCAGATAGAATACTGGACCTGGACTCCTCTTCCTGAGTTCAAATCTGGCCTCAGACACTTACTAGCTGGGTGACCCTAGGAAAGTCACTTAACCATATTTGCCTCAGTTTCCTCATCTATAAAATGAGCTGGAGAAGGAAATGGCAAATCACTTCAGTATCTTTACCAAGAAAAACCTAAATGGAGTCATGAAGAGTCAGACACAAATAAAACAAATGAACAATAGCAACAATGATGCCAGTAGCAGCCTCCTCATTCTCCTTAATGAAAAAGTTCAGGAAAGTCTGAAAACTCCTGAGAGTGACCCTGTCAGAATCAGACCAATAGTAACGGCCCAAGCCCTTTCTCCCTCCCCACCTTGGGGCGTTTGAATATCACCTAACCCCCAGTCCCTCGGGAGTCTTCCCTCTCTTCAGTAGTATGAATCAGCACCACTTTCTAGGAAGAGGCTGTTCAGCTCTCTTCTCCCAATGGCAGGTCCTGCCAGACCCAGGTAAGAACCTAATAAAATTCTACAGACTTTATAGATTTGGGAGAGCATGGCTCATTCTGGGTTCTCTATGAATTCCCAATTCTTTCTGTGGGGTCCAACAGAACCGACACTTCATCATTCTCCCTGACTACTCTTCATTGTGTGGGTATGTCCCCTCAAAAAAGATGCCTTGTTTTACTTTACTGTATTTTGTTGGAAATCTTTATTTCCTTATGCTAGGCCTTTGGTATACTGAACCTTTGTAAGTCTGTGTGAAGGCAGAAGATCTATAATGTAAAGTGCCATCATGTAACAAAGAGAAAAACCAAAGTTAGTTATATTTCATCAGCAGCCATTGAATTTCATTTTCTAACTTCCCACTTTATCTTCAACACATCATTTCCCCCTTCTTACTCAAGAGAGTGTAGCTTTGGAAAAATGTTCCCATTTATTCTGAGCATCAAAAATTAATTAATGCAATAAAACAATGTCTAAGCACTTTGGCATTTAATGATCTCACTGTCTAAAACTAAAACATGATCAATAAGGAAGTTAAGACCAAAAGAAATAAGTCCTTTTCCAGCACATCAATATTTTATAGTCACGTACTGCCAAAGAGCCAACCTGAATCCAAATCACAAGTTTTTGGGGGCAAAAAAGCCTAGTTTTTTTTCTTTACACATTATAATAATTTTCAAATGGTATGGAATCATAGGATTTTAGATTTTGAAAAGGCCTTAGAAAGTAATCTAAAACTCTCATTTTAAAGAGAAGGAAAGGTTTTTCTTTTCTTTTCCAGGTGAGAGAAGTTAAATGATTTTTTTTTTTCTGGATCATATGGTTTAGTTAGTGGCAGAACCTGGACCTGAATCCATTTTTCCCATCTCCTGGTCCAGTGCTACACAAGAAAATATGATAAATAGCCTATGATGGAAATGTATTCAATCAGGATTAACTAGGAAGTCAAGAAGCTGAAGCTTAAATACGCTGGCCACATAATGAGAAGACAGGATTCACTGGGAAAGACCCTCATATTGGGAAAGATTGAAAGCAAAAGGAGAAGGGGATGAGATAGATAGGTAGATCGTGCCATGGAGACAACAAACATGAGCGTGGACAGACTTTGTGAGATAGTGAAGGATAGAAGGGCCTGACGTGCTATGGTCCCTGGGGTCACAAAGAGTCACACGGGACTGAATGACTAAACAACAAAAATATGACTTCAAAGGTGGCACTATTTGTCTGATGAGATCTAGGACTTAGAAATGGCTATAAAAGGATTTCCTTTTTCAAAGAAAAAAGGCTATGTAAAAAATGTAGTGGAGGCATGAGATCATAGATTTAAAGCTAAAAAGGACCCTAGAAGCCATCTGGTTCAATCCCTACATTTAATCAATATGATTAAGACTCATGGAGGTTTAGTGACTTGCCAAGGGTCACATCATTAGAGGTGGGATTTATTGCATTTACGTTAAAAAGACACATACTCACGTTTGAGAGATAGTATGATATAGTGGGTAGAGAGTGGGCCTTCAAGTCAGAGAGACCAAGATGCCACACTTACCTCTGACACATGCTGGTTTTGAGACCCTGAGTTAAAACACTTAACCTCTCCCTTCTCCAAGTATTTCCCAACAATTGCCAATATGCATTAATAGTTTCCACAGCAGGAATTGCCTATACCAGCGAAATCACAGATCTAGACCAAATAAGAATAATAAAAATGATGATGATGATGATGATGATGATGATGATGATGATGATGATGATGTTGGAAACACATATGGAAATTCAGGAATCAGAGGAGAGAATCCGAGAATACTCTGAATGAAGATAAACAGAGGTGGAAAAATAAGCAGTATCATCATTTGAGCATACTGCAGATCACCATCACCAGGAAAGAAAGAAGAAATAAAAGCCATATTCAGGATACAGATCACAAGTCTAGCACAGTGATATGATATAGTAGTCAAAGGGGACTTCAAATACCCAGTCACCTAGAACTCTATTTCTGCCAGAAGTGGAACAGCTAATGACTTCTCAACTTCCCTTCATAAGATATAGGAACTAACAAAGGGAAATTCTATTCTGTATACTTAGCCACAGAGAAGAGCTGTTCACTATTCGTAAAGGAAGGCTGAAAGAAGGGACGGTGATTTCACCATCTTAGAATTTGTGATACAGAAGCAGAGGAAGACCAGGTATGGTCTGAATGAACCCAAATTTTAGAAGATCAAATGTCAGAGGAAAGGCAGACAAGGATATTATGAACTAAAAGTCTACTTAGGGAAAGTCAGTGTAGAAGGAACGAGAAGGTCTTACAAGGTACAATCTAAAGTGACAAAGTAGAAACAATTCCAGCAAGGAGAGAATGTTGTTGTCTCCATGTATGTCTCACCACACTTATTCTCCACCTGTGTTCACTCTTTTCACTTCTGGTGCACATGTTTGTGGGAGAGTATGTCCCAAGTTAATGGGGAAATTGTTATATCGCTACTTTTTTTTTATGCCAATTCATTAAATGCCTTTACTTTAATTAATTTTGCCCTCTAGCTAACTGTGAAAGGTAACTACATTGGTGAGAGCTCATATCTTATGGCTTTGAGTTGATGCAATCATAGAGTACCTTGAATCTGGGGTAGTCTTGTCTGGGGAACCTACTATATGAGCCAGAAGGGTGTCTCCTGGTGTCATGCTTATTTCCTTTTTGGACAATATTACTATACTAGTAAATCAGTAATTCTTGATATATGTTACTGAAATTTTAGTATAGCATTT